CGGCACCAACAAAGAAATTAAAAATTGCACCAAAAACACTCCCAGTATATAATATCATTGTCATATTATGTAATCATCCCTCTATTGGTTGGTGTTAACCACCACCAGCAACACCAACACCAAATCATGTTCCTTTGCTGGTGATGCTGGAGGGAAGGTTTTGGAGTAGTCAAGATCCGTCAATCTGGTGAAGCTAAGGACTGTTCTGGTAGGGGCACCAAAAGCAAATCTCCCTCCGCCTCACCGGGAAGGCGGCAGTGGCGGCGCTACCTAAGATCACCGAACCACCCCCCGTCGCAGGGATCGATGGTCCGACAGGGTCCGACAGGGTCCGACAGGGTCCGATGGTGCACCACAAGACCTTCCACATGTCGTGAAAAAGCATATATTTCATGACCTAAACACCCCCTCGTCACGGTTTTCACACTATATAAAAGAACCTTAAGTACCAGAATTATATATATATATATATACGTCTTACAGGACATGAAAGAACTTTACATAGCCATACACCACCCACATCTGGGGCATCCGAAATGACGTCTTCCAAGGACGTACGGTTCGGGGACGTCAGTGGTGCAGTAGTGGTGTCAGCCGAAGCTGCGTAGAACAGCCAACCATCCACGGGAACACAAGCGGAGAGAACTTGAGAGCTCCATCTTTCAGCTGAAAAGAAATGCTTTAGGATCAGACCTTCTAATTCTAATGATGAACAAGATCAAGCGTGTGAATACCCCGCTCAGGATCACTCAAGTGGAAATGTGCAAATACATCCTCAACCAAAGGTGAGAACATGTGAGAACATCATGAATCGTTAGTATTTCTATGTATTTCTATTTACGCTGTCCAAACACTCCATCAAGCATCATTGATCTACTGGGTGCCAGCCCGTCCGGCAAATCGTGTGGGTCGAATATGCAGCAACACCAAGGAAACATAGCCGTATGTAGTAATATATTATGTATAGTATTAAGGCCTCACATGCAGTGATCTTCTACCCTTATATAATATTGACCAATGAGGGCGACCGTGTGTGCTATGCAGGCCACCCAAGCCATCCAAGCAATGTGTTGCTTCAACCAAGCAACATCACTCACATAACGCTGCTGCTGCTGGGTCTTGGAAGGTGGACTGGAAGTACCTTGGGCTCATCACCGGAGGTCGATGGACAGTCCATCCAATCCACCGATGGTTGGCAAACATGATGGAACATAGATCTCTGTTGAAATTGGGATTAAAATTAATCACCCTATGTCCCTATGTAGAGTGGTGACAAGGATTGTGTTCACTCAGCACTGGTTCATGGTTGTTCCAACCGCCGTTCCGACCACCTTCTTTTCGTTCCGACCGCGGGTCTCCGGACCACAAAGCTGACCCAAGGTGTCCAGCACCAAGTCCATGAAGCTCTTGTGGCCTTGGAAGACTGGAGATGACTTGGATGATTTGGAGATGACTGGAGAGAGAGAGAGAGAGAGAGACAAAGAGAGAGGGAAACGAAATGTTTATGTCGAGTAATTACCACTTGGAGGATTCGGAGATACTCAGAGCACTCCAAGTGGAGAGAGTTGTTGTTCCGTTTTCCAGCGAACCAGTCTAGAAGAGGCAGAGAAAACACAGTGGAAATGTGCGGGGTGGAAACTTGCACGGCAGAATCTAGTGGTTTTGCTTTGATTGACGTGGAAGAATGTGTTTTGTGCGGGGACGAGTACACGGGGTTGCTGTTTTGGAGGTGAGGAGTGCTGTTTCCGAAATAATTTGTTGTTCTTCAAGTTAGACCCAACATTTTAAGTCATGAATCCTGGCAGACTTCCAGGATAGGATGACTCGCGGAATATCAACAACTAGCAAGCCGCCATGAAAGTACTAAACATTCCTTAACACTTAGATCCGCGCGCGCAAGAACTCTTTTGGAAGTTCCAGCGTTACTGCAACTAGACCTTGACTTGATTCAACGGCAGGAAGTGCTGGGTCGGGAACACAGGTTTGAAAAAATGAACTGATGAGCGCTTTAATGGAAAATGAGTGTCACAGCTTCTTTAACACTTGGAAACTCTGGAAAAAAGTTTAAAATCCACAAAGGGGTGCTTTCTGGATATCGCGACCATACTATCACTGCCTTCGTTGGGCAGCGAGTGATAGTGGTCCACTACCCCACTGCATGGCTGTACGAAAGATTGAGTAGTGGAAAGATTAGTAGCCGTAGAGACAGGAAGTGACACACTTAGTCAGTGGGTTTTCAGTTAACTCTGTTCCCCGAGGAAAGGAAAGATGGAACGGGAAGGCGCAATGTCAGCTCAAAAGAGTTGTTCAACAATGTTTGAGTGTGACTACTATTAAAAGTCTGCAGGTACAAGATACTGCGCCCAGAATCTCTTCCAGCCGAGCACCATAGCTTTGTTAGCACGGCTAGGTGAACGGCCGGGTGCCCCCTGCGAACTGAGTCAGAAACAAGCTCCTGGAAACGGAGGGTAACACACACACTCGGCCGCTTCGCGGCGCTCTCTCACAGAACCTGAATAGTCACCTAAAAAGCCTTAGGAAAGAAAAAGAAAGACAGCAAGAGCAAAACGAAAAGTGCAAGAAGGAAAGGTAGGAGCAGCGGATAAAAGTGACTACTTAGCACTTGACTACTTAGCCCTTGACTGAAGAGGGGCAGGGAAATGTGCCTCAAGAACCACCTAACAAGCCTGAAAGAAAGCCTAGAAAACGAAGAAAGCGCAAGAGAGAAAGCCGGGGGCAGGGAGGGCGTGTATGTCCATGTGTGTGTACATGTGTGTGTGTCTGAATACTTAGCACCCTAATTACTGAATACTTAGCAGCCGTGAATTACGTGCAACAGTTAGGGAGCGGGACTTTAGTCTTAAACCGCCCGGGAAGAGTAGACTAGAAAAGGGACAACAGAAGGAAAGGCACCGACACACAAGTGTGTCGAGTACCATTTCCTTCTGTTACCCTAATGATAGAGAAGAGGGGGCGGGGGTTCATTCTCCGTAAGCCCGGCGGCATTCTGTCCGGAAGCGCGGCCGCTTTGCGATCAGTTGATTACCAAAAAGTCAAGCCAGAATCCACGGTGGCGGCACTTCGAGTCAGGAAAACGTGATTCACGATGGCTTCAGCGCCCCCTTGCGGGGAATCACACTGTGTACCCAGTGGGAAGACACAGCGATACACACTTAGTCATTGAGTTTTCAGTTAACTCTGTTCCCCGAGGAAAGGAAAGATGGAACGGGAAGGCGCAAAGTCAGCTCTAAAGAATTGTCCAACAATGTTTGAGTGTGACTACTATTAAAAGTTTGCAGGTACAAGATACTGCGTCCAGGATCTTTTCCAGCCGAACACCATAGCTTTGTCAGCACGGCCAGGTGAACGGCCGCCGTGCCCCCTGCGAACTGAGTAAGAAACAAACTCTTGGAAACGGAGGGTAACACACACACAGAACAAAAAGCGCCTACATGTTGCACGCTGAAAGGCATACTGTCCCACTGACACAATAACCAAAAGAGGCCCAGGAACAAAGATTCAGAGATTAGCTCATGTCGCATCGTTTCTCATACACTCCAACTGAAATGGCTTGGTGTTTTCTTGGCCTATCATTCTCGGAACATATCGGAACCAGGGCCGACCTCTTCCGACCCCAAAAAGGCCGAAACTGAACCGAACCGGCTCACCATCCGAAGACCTGCGCTGGGTTCCCATCCTCCAGTCATCCCACACCATGATCCTCTGAGTGGCGTTGTGGTGGCTGGTAGGGCAACAAGGGCCGGGATCCGAAGAGGGCCAAGATCTGGCCGCTCGCTTCTGGGTCCGGCAAGTCCCGGTGTGCGGGAATCGTGGGTGCGAAGGACGTGCGCGGAAAGTGTGGATGTTCGGAGAAACGATGTGGAACGTGTTAGTTCAATGCAGGTCCAATAACTTCAAATTCCAAAGCAAAGAGTGACCATGCAAGTCCTTTGTATGATTTTGTATGGCTGAAGATGGGGAATCCTCAAAGCTCAATGCATGGGGAAAAGCAAAGGCAACCAGGAACACCATAGTGCCCGCGTAGATGTTGAAAATTGGTCTTTGGCAGACTCGGGAGCACTTGGGTTGGTAGCTGACTGCCCCGCAAGTCCCAAGTAAGCTGACTCACTTGGGACCCGGGAAAACAAAAGGAACAGCATTGCAAAGGTGTTGCAGCAAGTATCAAATCGTTTGCCCCAGAACAAACGATGTAATTTTTCCCTTGGGCCCATGGCGCTTGATCCGTGCTTCCTCTGCGGGTCTTTCTTGCAGTTTTTGGTTGGGAATTGGGAGTGAAGACTGGTTGTCATAGCGGAGGCTGGAAACCTCTTCCAACTTGGATACAAACCCACTTGATGATGCCACTTCATCTAGCCTCTTTGATTCCCCCAAACTGACCAGAAATATGACTCTAGCGTGCTCAACTGGAGCGGTGGAACTCCTACAAGAAGGTGTTTCAATGTCATGAAAGATTTGCGGCATAATTTTTCGAACAGTAGGAGCAAAGACGCTACTAGGAGCAAAGGGCATCGCTACTAGGAGCAAAAACGCTACTAGGGGCTCCTGTCCTTACTACTAGGAGCAAGAAGCTACACAAAACACTTTTCCTTGGCCCAAGGTGCCATGCTTTCGAAGGTCACGCGGCCTCAAGAAGTGTCGAGCTGTTCGGCGGCCATTCTCTTCACCCCGAGAGTAGAAGCGGTCGTGGTTGTGGTGGGGTCAAAAGGTGAGTGGATTTCAAGGATTGCAAGTATTTGTTGACCTACCCCGTCTGTAGATGACCTATATTAACCTTCTTCGGGGATTGATTTCCCCACTAACAAACAGCTGGAAAAACATGTTCTATAGTTTCAGTTGAGGTTTGGCTCAATGCCCCACTTCCTGGCCAGGGCCGCCATGTTAAACAAAACGGTTAAGTTTAGTCGACTGTTCAGCGCTGTGTGTGGTGCCGCCACGCTGTGGGGAGAATTTCATTCATTACAATGTAAAGTAAACTTCAAAAAAGGACTCCAAAGACTGTCGTACTGGCTTCCAAGCTGCCTTCTCGTGTAGGGTCCGCTTTCTTTATGATGTCCGCCATCTGCCAGGACTTATCCAGGCACACCAATGAAGCAAAAGGTATTTGCTTGTCCTTACCTTTGCAGTTCCATTCGCGTAAGTAGGAATTGAATCGATAACTGATTCTGATGTAGAAAAAACCTGCTCCGTTACGTGTGTAACGGGATCATTCTTTGCATACAAACGGTGCAATGAATTCCAAGGAACCCTTGGACACATGCGGCCTGCGTCTCATCGATGACATCAGGACCGGCCAATTGGAGGAGCAACTTGCAAGCAGTGCTGTCAATGAAAGGGGGCAAACTTTTGAGAGATCCAAACATCCAAAGCCACGGTTTCACATGGATTTGGGAGATTGACCACAACATTCAGAGATGTGTGAGCAACAATACAAAATCAATTTCTACCAAACAAAACTGTAAAAGCATCTTCCGGCATTCCCTGGAAGAAGCGATCTGCTGGCAGGGTACAGTGAAGAGTTGTTTTGTCCCACTCAACTTGGATGTCTCTCAACTTGGCCATACTACTAGGAGCAAGAACGCTACTAGGAGCAAAGGGCATCGCTACTAGGAACAAGGACGCTACTAGGGGCTCCTGGCCTTGCTACTAGGAGCAAGAATGCTACACAAAGGCTTCCCAAAGTCTATGTCAAAGGCCTCGTGATCTGCAGAGCCACAAGTTGAGCACCAGGGGCGTTCCCATCCAAGCAGGACCGTCGTCGTGGCACACGGAGCGTCACCAAGGCGCCTCTTTGAAATGCTGAGTAGTGATGTGACCAGTGCCATCATCCTTAGAGACCGCATTTGATCTCTATCCGATGCAGCGATCATGTCACACATCAGTAGAATGTGTTCAATGTGTTCCCAGGGAATAATCGCGCAGTGCTCTTGGAAGAATCAGAAAAAAAAATCTTAGTTGAAACCAAATACTGAAACACACATAAAATCAACCATCCCATGCAACAACATCCCATTGAATGCAATGAATCTTTTGTTGCGTTTATATTAGATTTTTGAAGGTCTACAGTGTACACATGTCATATTATGTCTTCTGACACAAAGACAAAACCAGCTAATGGGCGCAAACCGCTCGCCTTCTCCTGGAAATGAAGCATGAAGTCCTGGTCCAATCTTTAAGACAAAGATTTGTAGTAGAAACCAACGCCTGCATGCATTTGTTTAAGAGTTTTAATACGTTAGAACAAGGCAAACATTAAATTGATTGCTTCCAAAATGTAAGAAAATAGAAACACACACCACAGGAAGTGGTATCACCGTAAAGAAAACCCAACGGTGTTTCGGTGATTCAACACAAAAAAGAAACGACCTTTGAAGGTCCCCCCTGATGCTGGGCAGTGCCGCTTCCATGTGCTTGGCAAACAAGAGAATTACGAGAGTATGCCTATAGGTGGCATACACCCACGGCACACAATGTTATTTTCTCTGGAGGATTGCACAAACTCTATGGCTTGGGTCGGCCATGGTCGGCCGCCCCCCTGGTTGGTTTAAGAATGGAAGGGGTCCGGGGGGCGACCCGGCTGGCCATCCCCAAGAGGAACCTCATAGCAATGGCCTCCAACCTACTTGCGATGGCCTCCACCTAGTAGCTTTTAGTTACTAGAAAGCTTCAAAGACATACTAAAAGCTTTATTGTTCTAGTAGCGATGGCCTCCAACCTAAAAGCAATGGCCTCCCGGCCAGAGGTTTGGTCCATCACTATGATCTATTGCAGGACCAGTTGGGCCTGTGCCACCTGTAAGACTCAAAGCGGGCGGGCCTTCTCCATGAGTTTTCGGAAAGCCTGGCAGAAACGGATGCTTCCCACAACGAGCGTCCACAAAATCAATGGGTGTCGAAACACCACGAAGCATGTGAAGACTTGCAGAGCTATGGACCACTGCTTTCAAGTTGCAGAGCTATGGACCACTGCTTTCAAGCAACTCTTTATCTGTGCCGTCTGTGCCTGGAGCTTTGGCATCATCGTCACAAAGTCTTCGTACGTGATCCTGCGCCAGTGAGGTGTATGCCGCGCTATGACATCCTCATGCATTGATGGTCGAACAGGGTCTCCGAGCAAACTCATTGAAGATCGAACCAGAACTGAACTGCAAGGTCATTACATCCTATTAGGTTCGAGGCCATTTCTATTTGGTTGGAGGCCATTGCTATTAGGTTGGAGGTCATGGCTCTTAGGTTGGCGACCATTGCTACTAACCTGCAAGGTAATTACATCGTGACCCTTTGAAACGTTTGTCACCCCAGTCCTATCCACGTCTCGAACCTCAGGCTGCAAATTCGATCGGTCCACAGACGAAAGCGATTGGACTCTCTGAGAACTGTGGCAAAATCCATTGACATGTAACAAAGCACACATCAGACGGTCTTTTGTTTCTTCAGTTTCTGCCAGAAACCAAGTGTTCTTAAGCAACTCGCAACAAAAGTTCCTGACCAAGTGTTCTTAAGCAACTCGCAACAAAAGTTCCTGACCTTCCATTCTGAAATAGCCTTCATGAAACCACCGTCGCCCGTCGCAAGGCAAGGAATGGACAAATCTACTATTTAGCCATGTCACACCAGCGAAATAGAGGAGATTGGATGCAGCCTCGACCTCGGACAACAAACCCAACACGAATGGCCGAATCATTTCAATTAACAAATATGCACAATCTGACCTGTCCAATATTGGAAGACTCCTTTCCTCTAGAAGCAGGTATTCTTTGTCTACGTGTCCACGTCCATGTGTTCAGAGTGGAGAAAATCAGCTCTTTAGTGGCTAAGAAGTGTTTGAAGAAGTGTTTGCCATTATTACTGTACTTGTTAATAGCTACCAGCTGCTATATGAACATCTGGTCATTCTGCTGATGTAGGCTCAAATCCATCTTCACAGCCTGAAACATCTGACGAGATTCACTTCGACCCTCCAAATTCTTAAGCTGGTGACACTCGTGGCATAGCCCAAATCTGTCATACCTCAGCTCAGAAGGATGGGTGATTCAAGACTGCAAGAGTCCCGTCCACCAGTGCAAGTACCAACCGATTGGGATTGCACTATATATATATATGCATATAATATATATATATAACTATATAATACTATATATATAATGTATGCACATACACAGAATACACAATACATATGAACATATTTAAAGTATATAACATGGTGTAACATATAGAATGAGCATTGAATGTATAAGATTGTATAAGTAAGTATAATATGCTATAAATAAGACACAGCCCACCTGAGCCTTGAAACATCGGCAAACAAATTGCCAGGGTAGGGCGGCGTCACGTGACCACAAATCGTTGATGATTGCACTTCGATCAGGAGAAGCTCCTAGTTGTTCAATTGATGAGTTACAGACCCTTTCCATTCCGGGTGTGGCATTGATGAGTTGCTGTTGGAAGAGGCAAAGCTGCACTGGGTCACCCGGGTCACCCTCTTAACAGACCGACAGACTTCGGCTCCCCGCGCTGGGCCAGCTCTATGGACCCCCAGCATGCATCCTGGACGTCCCAAGGGAGGAGAGACCGGGGAAGCAAAACAGTCGGGAGACCGTAACAGCATCTCACCTGAAAAAAGAAGAAAACACATCTCTGAGAACAAGGAAAGACCTTTTTAGTCTTTTGGTCGTGGTGTTTTGACCCGGAACTCCACCATCGAAGATAGGAAACAAGGATGGCTCTTATCGCCAAGGAGTGCGCATTAGGCGGCTCTGACTCAAGAACTACCGAACATGGAACATGGACATCACTTGTACATCCACCTTGAAGAGCCAGACTCCGAAAGTTAAGAGACCATGTTCACCATTGTTCACCGATTCAATCGGCTTGGCACGACGCGACTTGATCCTGAGCCGACAACGCGAGCAAGCAACAGCTATTAAACATTGGCGGCGTGATTTACTGCGGAGAAAGTCCTCATCAGCATCGAAATAGCTAAAGATCTCCTGCAAACAATCTCAAGATCATGGCCCTCTGGAGAGATCTCAGGACTTCTCTCGGGCTATTTGTGGGTGCTAAAACCTATCAAGAACCTACTATAAATCCTACATTGTGCCTTCCCTTGACGGCTGCATGTTGGAAGGAACCATACGCAGTGATCCAACAAAAACGGCCTTGTACTGAGACTTTTCCACTTCAGATGCTTTGGAGAGGATCTTTGCTGCCTGCAATTGCAAGGGCTTGGAATGACTGCGCTGATATGTGTTTAATCTATACAATTACATATAAACGGGCAGGTCAAAACCGTAATGTCTATTGGCTGTTTTGTTTCGGCACAATGACAAGGAGTCCTTTCTGCAATCACTTGTCCAGCAAAGCACAAACATCACAACACTCTCTTTTTGTGTTTGTCTTCAGTATATACTCAGTGCTGCTTTGTAAGAGCTTTGTAAGAGCCTTGCTGTCTGCAGAACTGCAGAACACTGCGGTATCGTCGATACGTACTGTATGTGTACTGCCAAGGCGACATGGGTTTATTCGAGCGATTATTCCATCTGCCTTTCTCTGGACTCTTTCATCCTGGGATGCGCAAACTTCTTGGCAGAGTGGGGTAACTAGAAGTTAGAAGTCGGTATAGGTGCAAAACAAATGGGGCGTACATACATGCATTTATATAATCTATACATGACCATTGAAACAGTGACAGAATTTGCAACTGCTCACGTGTTACAGGGTGCGACAGCGGTTTGTGAAAATCACAACGCGGAGCGAAGCAGCAAGACTCACAAAACCACCATGGGTGAATTGCAACAGCTGTCCTCAAACTCCACATCCGATTTGTTCAATCCTTTTGCCTTTTTTTTGAGCTCCTTCTTCTTGGCCTCCGATGTGCGACTTGATGCGCAAGAACATGGACAAGCCACAGAACAGTCCTCCAGCTTTACAAAGCCTCAAGTTCAGTGGGGATTGCGCAGCCAACAACTGCCAGATTTGGGGTCTATCCTATTACCAGTATCAGTGCATGACGATGGTTAGTAAAGGCGTTTCTGTAAAATAGTGATAATTGTTTACTGACTGTTGCAGGTAATAGGACAGACCCAAGCCAAACTACTCATCTTTTGTTTGCTCTTGCTATGGATCGTTTAGTTATATTCGCAACAAGAAGAGATCTCTCGATTGCACCTTGTACTGCTCTGCCATCTTGGCCAAGTTTTCTTGCTCTTCTGCCTAGCTGGCTGAGACTGAAAAAGAACAAACCACCATCTAGCCAATATGATGACAAACAGCAAGGACATGCTAAGTGTCTACATGATTTTGGGCCATGTTCCAACCTTACCTCATCCACCTGTCCACAGGGCCCGCAGCCGATCCCTCTCTTCTTGACTTTGTAACAATCCCTGCCTCTTGCCCATTTTCAGGGATACCTTGGACAAACCAAAAGGTGCAAGAGACAGCAAGTTTTAAACATGTGCAAAACAGCTTCTAGGTCTTGACCTCAGAAAAGAGCGACTACAAAATACTTCTCATGGATTGGAACAGTTTCTCAACATTCCTGAAAACAGCATGTTCGAGAAGTCTGTCAAATGAAAAATGATGAAACATGACTAAATGATGGCGCATCGGCATATCTTCCACTCAGTTTTCATGAAGAATACAACAATCACGTTTGTAGGAGAAAAACAAAAGAATGCACAACCAGCGCTGGCTGATGTTCGAGCTCACGACACCATGGTGACACCAAGGGGCGTCCCTTGGGCGTATATATGCCTTGTAGATGTTGACGTCCACCACGAGTGACTTCCTAGCTACCCCGGGCCCTATGTCCAACGGACGACGCATGGGCCAAACCAAAAGAGTTGCTCTGTTGGCTCCAGCCACTACACAATCAAACACACTCTGCAGAAAGAGGTCTTCCTTGCGAGCACTCGTCGAAACTGCCGAAACTCGCCGCGTGGACCTGCATGGACCACAGTTCAACCCCAACAAACGTCAGAGCAGCTATCCACAGCTATCAGCTCTGCAGAACAGCAGAACATCGGCTCGATCACGTAGACTGAGCTCAGCCGACCCACCAATACCCGCCACACGGGGGGCGGGATCAGCGTGAAAACGAGACCGCAAGTCGCATCCAAATGGGGGTGTTTACAATTACGTCTCAAGAGTCTACAGAAAATAAGGGGATTCACCTGGATTCACTCTGTCCACTGTCCAGAAGTGACCCGACCTGTCTTTCGACGAACGACGGAGAGTCGAAGACCCGGGCCTTGTAGGCTTGGTGAAGATGCGACTCCTCCAGCAACACCGAAGCACCGCCCGACCTAAAAGCGTTGGCAGTCGTGGTTCGAGCTGAGGGTGGTCGATGCGGGCACCCTTTGGGATATGAAACGTGAATATCACTAGGAGGTGATGTATAAGTGAAGCAGAACAAACCAATGTGCATGTGTTCTGTATTTCAACTTACTCGAATTCCTCCACCAGAATGAAGGAGAAAACAAGAAAACCACATAAGAATGATACACATATATAAACATAAAAACTGCCATCTGCCAGCATCTGCCATGCGCACCGATCAGCTTGAGCGCCAGTGTTATTCTGACATCAACTGCACCAAATCTGCTTGGCCAAACCCGCTTGGCCATACCCGCCAGGGCGCCCGGGCGCTGCAGCGGCCTTTGCCTGGGATTTCAATTGGATGGGAATACTTATACTTGCAAACTAAGGTCTTTGTGAAAGGATGCCCACCCCTACACCCCACCAAACTCAAATCAAAATCCTTTGGCAACATCTGGTCGGAAACAGGAACAACAACCAGCCTGACAACCCAGCCATTCTCAGAAAGACGAGACACATCAACCCTCAAGCACCTCCGGTGGGTGAGTTCGCAGGCTCATCAACCAAGTCAAACATGGCCCTCAAAACATATAGCAATACTTGTGGGATGAACTAGCTGCCTGAGCCACTGCCAGTCTTCTTTGTCTGGTTGACACGGAGTCGTGGTGTGAACTGTCGGACTGGCTCCTCAGATGTTAGAGCTACGTCCTGCCGGGACATGGCACACTTTTCCACCAAACGGCACACGCAGGTCGTGCTTCCCCAATAGGGACCCGAAAGCCATCCATGTGTGTCAAGAATTACAAACCTATGATGTCTCCTGCACAGCCAGAAAAAGACTTCTTGAAGCATGGTATATAATGCTACTACTGCTACGAGTACTACTAACTTTGAGTGGTCACCCAACCATGATTTGCTGTGGGTATGATGTCCAAGACATTGGGCACCTATGCCATGCATAAACTTAACTTATAACTCAGCTTTGCCACACCTGTGCCACGTTGGAGCGGCTTAGCATGCCACGCGTGGCAGGCAGTATGAGTGAAGCAAGTGGTTTCGTACATCTTTTGTACACCAAGGACCTCCATATGGTGATAGTGTGGCTCCCCAAGACTAACTGCATCAGTAATGTATTCAAGCATTGCTTTCTCAGGATCCTCAGGTATCTCACCCTTGGAGGTGTCCCAGTGAATAATGATCTGAGTATTTCTGAATAGCAGAATCCCGGCCGGGAATAGCAAGAATTCTTCAACTTCTGCTGAATGCTATGCCCTGCCGCCCAGTCACAGGTCGTGAGTCCATCACGATGCAACACAGCAGTCTCCTTGGCGCTCAGCAGCAAGCAGCAGGAACGGCTGCCGGTAAAAGACAAAATGGACGTCTGGTCAAGCAGTCACACTGTTGCTGGAACACGAAACACACTGCCTTTTCGGTATGTGGACATGTACAATTGATAACATGGATCATAGCTGTTCACCTCCTGGGGCAAGGAACAAAAGGTGTGTCGACAAACATCATCTATAGTGCTTGAAATTGAAAGGATCTGTAACCTTGCCTTAGCATGCTTCTGGATGTTTTTTTGTGCACAACCTAGCACCATTGCCTTTCATGCTTGAGAAATATGACAATGAATGCAACATCTGTCGAGTCAATGTATATTGCTTGGTTCTTGAAGCACACCCAATACTGCGAATTCGCCGCTCTTTGAAGTGTCAAACCAAGAGCATTCTAAAGGTTCCAAAGCATCCAAAATTCTAATAGATCTGACAGCAGCAGTCTGAAGGTATAGCCCGTCACACAGCCGGCTGACTCAGGGGTCTCCTACTAAAGGAGCTCCGGACAGGGGCAGGTTACAGCATGGCGGGAAGGAAACGGCACCCCGTTCAAGGTCTTCTGCAAGGAGCTCTTCTGCCATGTTTCACTTCACTCCTCACAAGTGGTCGTTCATAATCTCTTCCATTTGGGGCAAGCCCTAACTCACGCTCACTGGCTAGCTGCCTTGACAAACATCTCTGAGGTAAGAGTCTTTCTTCTGCGATCACCCAAGGGCCCACAGTCCACGAATTCCTGACTGAATGTCGGACTGCATGGTCAAGTCTTTCATACTTGATTCAGGACATCGGTGCGTCGGTGCTGTTGGTGCTGGCAAAGATGTTGCACTCATTTCGGGTTTGTATGCCATGCTACTCCCCATGTTCCCTACTTGTGAATCCTGCAGCTAAAGGAGCTTAACTCCTGAGCCATCATGGCAACGATCAGCCTGTGAGATTGGTAACTTGAGACCTGCAACCATCAGTGGCGAACACATCAACAGGCTTAGTGTACGCCTTCCATCCAGCAAGCCAGGAGCAAAAGCCACATCAGTTCAAGCATGCCTGAAACAGTGAGGGGTGAAGCAAGACAGCTTCCTGCAGCCAACAAAGGTGGTGTTCATGATATGAGGGATTGCAAAAATCAATTATATATTCCCCCGCCCTCAATGAGCAGCAGGAGAATGATCCCGCGCCTTGGGAGGGTAGAAGTACCTGAATGATTGCGGTCTCTCTGTCGTGTCTCAGCAGTGTGGAGATTAACGGAAAACATTGATCTTCAATGGAAGGTTTTGATGCCCAAACACCGGAAAAAAAAAAGATACACAAGCAAGCATTCTGCGCAAATGTTGCAACAAATGCTCAATTCAGACTGATAGAACTGTAACTTTCAGAAAAGTAGCCTTTGGTTTGGGATGCTGCACTTCAACAGAGTGGTTGGGCCCACATATACTCAAATGTACAGGGTTCAATTAGCTTTCCCCGTCCAATCCTGGCTGGAAATCCCACTTGCTCAATACACCTCGTCTCCAAGTATCTGCTTTGAGTTCTGGGTCCAGTCACACTCTGACCACTGTGGTGATGTTGATATGATTTCTGGTGCGAACAACCGTCCCAAGCCTGTGCCGACAACGAAACCTGTTGTTGATCATCGCCGGTTCACGTGGCGATGCTAGAACGGACTAGAACTTTGGTTTTACAGTGCCCTGGGCTGTTCAACGACAATAGTTAAACAACAAAACGATCTTTGGCAAAACCCCGTATAAACAACTATACTTTGGTCACTTGTGATTACTTTGCCAAGATTCTGGTTCCGGGGGTGGAGACACTATACTTGGTGAGCTCGGAACGCCCACCACATCCCACGGCACCAGCAGCGGATCTTCTTGGCCTGGAGATCGTCGTCTTCCACACTGGGATTCCACCGGATGTATCCAAATTCAAACGTAACCTTTTCGCGTGTTGTTCCGTTATGTTGCCATTGTGTTTGCAGTACCTCTTGTCAAAGAAATTGTCCATTTGATGAGAGGGTGTGTTTGTTTTCAAGGTCTTCAGCAAGGAGATAGGATTCCCACGAGCCAAGAAGAGTGGGGGACTTCGCTGCATTTGACGATCATATAGAGATGGAACCCTTTTTGTTGGGTATCAGTCTCCGCACTGGATTCAGGATGGCAACAATTCAACGCAAGCATGTCTCTGCTCATTGAGCCTTGGTTCACATCACTGTTTGCTACATTTCGTAGCGAATCCTACAAATTCCCTCGCCAGCTCTAAATATTATATATAGGTTCCTGGGGGGGGGCAGCAGGACTTGCGATGCTAGAATCGATTTGGCCTGTGCCTATTATGCTTATCCAGGGGTGAAGTTCAAACCACCACAGATAGATGCGGGTGTGTATTCAATGTATTTATTTCATATCTGGTTGCTGATTTGAACCATTCTTACTTGTTAATTGGGGTAATCACTCCCAAACAAGGATGGACAAACGAAACAAACACATGTCCAACCTGCAAAGTCTTTGTGAACAACCCAGAGTGTGCCCCAGGTGGTCGGAACAGTTCCAGATCCAGTTCCGAACTGGCGCTAGCTGTCTCAGGGGTGGGGGAAGCAGTTCCGCCAGTTCTAGATCCAGTTCCAGTTGTAATTTCAATTCCTGTGATGAAATTCATATGTTTTTTTGCGGGGTGGTTAGGAGTCGGAGATCCAGATCCAGTTCCAGTTCTAGATCTGGTTCCGGATCCAATTCCAGTGGCCATTTCAATTCCTGCAATAGTTCTAGATCTATAGATTCCAATTCCTCTGATAGAGGAAATAGATGTTGCTCATATTTTCTGCGGGAAGGGTTCTGTCCTGTTGAACGATGGGGGAGGTTCCAGTTCCAGTTCCTGATCCAGTGGAACACACTATGCAAGAACCCCGTCGCATGCCCGTCAATCACATGGCTGTTTCTTTCTAAATTCATGGCCCCTGCCTCATCCATGTACTCCTGTACAGTGCTGTCTGGCAAAGAACGAAGATAAGCAATCAACCTGCAGCGGTTCCGGCGGCACGAAACCAACTTTGCGAATCTCAGGCTGAGTCACCGGGTTTCCAGTATGAAGTCTGTGGACGGACGGTTTCACACGAGTCTTACTGTAATCTAAGCCAAAGAAAAAGATAAAGCATGGAAGTTGTCTCAGGAGAAGTAACACGATTCCTTTGGAGTCATTCCTTACACTACAAAAACACAAACTAAAGAGGACCATGACATACCATGACCATGCCAAAGATGGTCTTCGATCATTTTGGAAAGTGCTTTTGCTGCTAGTGATGCCGCTGGGCATGCCCATCGGTTCGGCCCAAAGGGACTCCAACATCATCGACAAAAACATCCGCAACCATGGACATCTGAAGCCTGCCAGCCCAATCACTGCAGGTTCATTCAGATCAACAAGGATACGCCGAAGCAACCAAGATGAGACACGCCCGGTCCTGGGTTTCAGTCTAATTCCGGGCAAACCTATTTATATAGCCAATGAATGCCAAACACATTCAAAAGCACGATGCCCGTCTCTTGTCAATAGGCATTTTCTTCGACTATTTCGACTGAAGCGTGCTCGGAGAGGACTCCAACACCAAGATGACAAAATCGTCAACAAAGCAACCGATACCGAACAAGCAAAGTGTCTTCGTGTGAGTGGCCTCAACTGCCACGTCTGGTGTCTAACGGATTCTAAGGGTCCGCACTGAGGACCAATCTGTGTCGAAGGCCATTTGATCACGAAACGGGTGACGTCTAAGAAATCCTCCAACAAAATGCCAGACGGGGGGGAAGTGAGGCTGCAGGCAGCCATGCAGGCCGTGTTGGCTACTGTTGGCTACCGCGATTTCCAGGAAAAGATTGACCAACAGTGGAGTTCAGAAGTTCGATGTTCGGAAGTTCGACTCTTAGGGTGAGTTCAGTTTGAAGTTGGGAAGATTTGGGCATGACAATAGATGACATGTCTCAAAACACATGCCTTGTATTTGACCCAGGGCCCAGGGCAAATAAATTATACAGTATATATAACATATACGTACATTTTAAGTTACATAAAAGCTTCCAAGAGTCCTCTACTGGCTGTTTGTCCCCAAGGAGGCTGTTGGGTGTGAATACCCTCTCGAGCCACACCGTGCGAAAGCGGCATGCTGTCCCACCTGGCCAGCGGCATTTTCAACTCTGTCCCTTGCATAATATGCTGCCGCAGCATACGGGCTTGTCAAAACCCCCATTCTGAAGCTGTAAGGGGCTCAAAAGCCGTGATTGGTCAAGCTGTTCGATTGACAGAACTGGCCACTTGTGGGCCTGGGCTTATCAAAACTTGAGGGCCGTTAAAATTGGAGCTTTGCACGACGCACCAAAAACCGAGGTGATCTGGCCCCAGATTCAAGGCAACATCATCCTCGGCATTCTAAGCCTCCCAAAAGATGGACCAATTGGGGTCCAACGGAAAATTGGCCCTCTGATAAATGCTCCTAACCTAATGAAAGCTCAATCTCTCATGCTTGAGCGTCAATCTTGTTCCACACGCCTGAGGGAAGGGCGATGAATTGATCAGCGTAATCGTTCATCTTCCACAGGCGTGTGCGCAAATCGCCTGATTGCTGTCGTGGTGAAGGAAAATGATGTGACACCAAGGGCTGAATGCCAATGGATGTTCAAAACCGCAAGATTCATAGCGTTGCGCGAGAGAACAAAACGACAAAGGAGCATCCAGCAAAATTTGTTGCCTTACTTGTACGATCTTCCTGTGTGGCTATTGTTGGGCTACGGCTTTTCACGCACACTCGGGGCTCTATCCACATACAGAATTCTTAGAGCTTGTTGCTTGGTGTAACAATCACCTCTGGGCCTCCTGAGGTTTAGGCTCAGGCTCAGCTAGCAACAGCTGACTTTATACTCTATCAAAGTCTCGATCCAATAAAATGGTGCTTGCGCCACCTACTTCCACAGCTGCGATTAAGTGTTCGAACACCTCTGTGGACCTATGAACAGGAGCCTCGCCTCTCCTGGAGCTTAAAGGACTTCGGTGGACAAACCTCTGTCCAGCTCCGAGACAGAAACCTATGCTACTAGTAACAAAGGGCATCGCTACTAGGAGCAAGGACACTACTAGGGGCTCCTGGCATCGCTACTAGTAGCTCCTCCCCTTACTACTAGTAACAAGAAGCTACTAGGGGTCCTGGCCTTACGGGCTCCTGGCCTTACTACTAGGAGCAAGGACGCTACTTTACTAGTAGCTCCTGGCCTTACTACTATGAACAGGGACGCTACTAGGGGCCCCTGCATCGCTGCTAGTAGCTGCTGGCCTTACTACTAGTAACAAGGAGCTACTAGGGGCTCCTGGCCTGACTACTAGGAGCAAGGACGCCACTAGGGGCTGATGGCATCGCTACTAGTAGCTCCTGGCCTTACCACTAGTAGCAAGAAGCTACTAACTACTAGGGGCTCATGGCCTTACTACTAGGAGCCAGGACGCTACTTTACTAGTAGCTCCTGGCCTTACTACTAGTAACAAGAAACTACTAGGGGCTCCTGGCCTTACTACTAGGAGCAAGGACGCTCCTGGCCTTACTACTAGTAACAAGAAGCTACTAGGGTGGAGGCCATCCCAGTGTCAGGACAAGACCCACCCCATCCCATCCACTTGGATTCACTGGGTGAGTGTCTGAAACAACCCTTGTTTGCATCATTCACCAACCACAAACAAAAGATTCCTGACGTTTGCCTGATCTTTTTGCTGGCAATTTGGTTGTTTTCCTTCCGTGGTACACCGCTTTTTCTGTTAACTAGATCTGTCACATAATAGCCCGAAGAGATCAGTTAAAACCCAGGTGCTGATCTTCTGGCTGGCGTCATTGATGTTGTCCACTAGGGAGAAGTAATCCGCTTGCAGCTGCACGGCATATTTGTTGTCGAACCTAAGCATGGATCTCCTAAGCATGGAACAGTATTTCTTCGGACATCCAAAGAGGTCCCTGAGTAGGGACCATGGAGGACCCATGAAACACTGTTGAACAAACAGAAAAACAAACACATTTAAACACACAAACACACAACAACAACAACAACAACAACAACAACAACAACAACAACAACAAC